AAACATGTTTAAGCCTTGGTGTGAATGGGGTAATAGTTTTAAGAAGCCACGTTTTTAAAAGGAGAAACTGTTGGTCATTTATTATTAAGAAATTGTAAAGAGTAATGTATATTTAATGAGAAAGAATAATCTTTAGTTTTAGGTAATTTTAGTGAAATCTGGATAATCAATTATCAACCATACCACTGAGCTTGTTTCTTAAACTTTTAAACAAGGAAATTTTGACTTAGAATGATGTGATCCAGTATTGAAGATATAGAAAACTGCTGTGTGCAGTTTTAATGCACGTGGGGATCGGTAGAACACAAGAGAAGTGTTAGGAGAAGCACGACGCGTAGACGAGAGAACTTCTCAACACTTCTCCGCTGCTCTGCTAATCCCCAAGTGCTTTATACAGGGTTCGTGCTACTCCTTAAACTCCTTGAAAACTCCTTGAATTTAATTCACGTTTTCAATGGCACTTGAAAAGCCCCTGAATTTAACGATTTTAGCGAAACTCCTTGAAAACTCCTTGAATTTTCGCTTTGATCATTACTTGCATGGTTCTGAAATAGATCTAGTCAGAAAGATTGGAAAATCTGAAAGTCAGCCATATGCAACCACCATGTAAAACCTTAGCATAGTTAGCTGAACATACTCCTTGAAAATTCATTTTTGGGTCCTTGTATACTCCTTGAATAGTCCTTGAATTTTAAGTAATTACCTCAAGCATGAACCCTGTTTATAACTACACATAGCAAACAACTTTTTTATTTCTTAAAAAAAAAAAATTAGAGAAACCATGATTTTGGATACGAATGACAAAATAGAAAGCGCGCGAGCGTGCTGTGTGCTCTCATAACTCACGCACCCCCAGCAAATCAGAACACGAGATTCATAACAGGTATTTTATAAAGGCAATTAGTATACACCTATTTGGAAAGGTCTTCTAAAGATTACTGAACGAGATTCTTTTTTCCTACAGGTGTCATCAAGCAGATGACTACGTCCCAGCCAAAAACTTGATGAATATGTGTTTCACGTTTTACCATGAGTTCAACCTCGGTAACTTTGAAACCATTTTCTATTTTTCTACGATAAAAGTATTCATGGACAGTTATTAGTCATTCCCAGGTTTAGGGATACAACTTTGTCGAGTTCGTATGAAAATGCATTTTTGGACTGCTTTAGACGAAATACCTCCAAGATGACATATTTGGCATATACCAACTTGTGTACTTCCTAAGAACGCGCGCGCTCATTGGTTAATTGGAGGTGAATATTGTACGATATTCACCTGTGAATCTCGGAATATTGAGTCGGCAACAAAATGGCATCTGCCGGCAATCGTTTTGCTACAATTTCCGATGAGGAAATTGAAAAAATGAAAGTAAATGYCATTCCTATCAATACTAAAAAGGCAACGAAGTATGGCCTAAAAGTTTTGCTAAAAGTTTTGCGTGAATTTGTCACGCAAACTAAAAGTTTCTGTTTGTTTGTTTTTATTGAATTATTGTATATAAAAATTAGTTACTCTGTACACAATTTGGTATATTGCTAAATATACATCGTTCGTTCAGATTGGTTAATTGAGCCGCTATAGACCCCTTGCATATGACGTCAAAGCAGCTCGATCTGGGGGACAAACAAAATTCCAATCCCCTCAGAATCGGAACCTATTGTTTAGCACACGGTTTTTGAAATAATGGGTCTTTCTTGGTGTAGCAAACTTTATTGTATTCTGGGTTAGGGTTATTGTATTGCAGGGTATTGTTTAGCTCCAAACTCATTGTCCTCGGCTATTGTATGATTGTCTTCATGGCCCAGGTGCCCTGCAACACCAAGAAAGTGCCGAAATAGTAGTAAATCGATGAACAGCGCGAGACAAAAAAATTTCCGGAAATTTGAGAGTTAGGTTTATATTGTGTGCTGTTAGCTTCACTGGCGGCATCTTACCCGTGCGTCCAATATCCGAGGGCGCGACGCTTCTTGACARCATTGTACCCATGACATCCAAGTTTAAAGCATCATAACTAAAATTGCTTTGTGGTTTTCTTAGGAGATGAGGTAGATACGCCTCAAAGGGAATTCCTCTCGGCCTACCTTAGAAGTCAGCCCATATGGTGAGTAACCTTGGCACGAATCTTAGATAATTCGCGGTGGATGGTTTTTCTAAAGCCGTTATTGTATCTGCTTAGATACGAAGTGCGCGCTGATTGGCTGGTTCCATTTTATATCAGGGCAATGACACGGTCGCGTAAAATCGTTAAAAACATTTTATAAACGCGCGCGCATTTCGCTGTATTGTAACATAAACACTGTGGGAACTTAACAGCACTCGAGAAGCAAAAGAAAGCGCTTCGGATTATAATTAGTATTCATTTAGAATGCTTTTTGTAATTAACTGCTTCTCACTTTTAACTGGTATACCTTAATTTAAATTTACGCCACCCATATTACTTACACTTTCGTTTCTTTATACTCGTTGTTCCTATATGTATATATTTTCTTTCGTCCACATAACTATAACTATATATTTGTAATATAATTAAGACATAGACCCCCTCGATGAGCGTTACGCTCTTGGGGTTAATGTTTCGATAAAATATGTTTAAATAATAAAAAAAGCAAAAGAAACGCTGCTACGCCTCTTGCGCGTGTTCCTAAGTTTGCTTCTCTAGTACTATTCAGCTCCCAGCGTGCTTATATTACAGTACAAAGACATGCGCGCGCGTTTTGTATTCTTTAAATATTGYGTGTCTCGATATTCTTGCCTAAATAGGATCTTTTACTGACATCAATTGACAACTGCTACTGACGCATGATTTACATCTGACACTGTTTTGAGTGAATGAATTAGAAACTTCGCATTGAAAGGTGTGCGCGACAAGCGAGGCATATCTCTGAAGTGGACAGTTTTATTTTTAAGGGCATGATAGCATGATTTTATTACCATTAACTGATTGCTTCGCGAATCTTCTTTCTTATTCAAATCGGTATTCCCCGACTAGCAGAGTCTCCTTTAATTTCCCCCGCGCGAGAGAAAGAATTACTCCACGACTTCTGCAGAGTCTCCTTTCCTTCTCTCGTCCGTGGAGACGATAAAAGGAAGATTCTGCTCGCATGATATATTCCCTCATTCCCTAATGAATTGAAGAAAATAAAGTTTGCAAGGGATTCTGGTAGTGGTAGTATGTAGCGCTGTCGTGGAACAGCTCAATGCGATATTAAGCATCGCTATCAGATGCCCAAATGAATGACGTAAATTGTCGTTGTGTGTTATGCAGGCAATCGATGCGTTACTGGAATGCAGCATTCTTTGATGCCCTTCACTGCGAAAAACAAGTTCCAGTCATATCAAGGTAAAGCATGAGAGGCGACTCAGTTGGTTTTTCGCATTTTCGAACCCCAGAGGCGGATTTAGAGGT